AAAAAAAAAAAAAAAAAAAAAAAAAGATCAGACCACTGAGGTAAAACTCTAGAGGGATTTTTTTTCTAATTTTATGTGTGTTAGTGTGTACTTACTTCATGTATGTATACACACACACAAACACACACACACACACATGGATATATCTATATCTATACACTGGGGTACACCCATAGAGGCCAGAAAGGGAACCAGGATCCCCTGGAACTAGAGCTACAGGTGGTTGTGAACCACTGTATGATTTCTTGGGACCCAAACTTAGGTCTTCTGCAAAAATAGTAAATGCATTTAACAGCTGGGCCATTTTTTTTTTTGTGGCCAATGAGTCCCAAGTAGAATTCTGTCTGTGCTAAGCCCACAGTCATCTTTTCTGGAGAACAGGCTCCACAGGGCAGCAGAGAGGCCAGGGACATCCTGTCTCCTTCATATCCCTTATCAGCAAGCTAAGCACGGGCATATCGCCCACCCACTCACCTGGGAGAACTGCTTCTCCCGGAGCTTGACTTCTTTCTCCACCAGCTGCTGCCTACGGGCGCTCTCGCTCTGCAGCCTCCGCTCCACTTGTTCCCGCCTCCGCCGTTCCTCCTCCAGGGCCTGCCTCCTCAGCTCCATCTCCCGCTCCTGAGCAGAAAGCCAAGAATCAGTGCCCCCAATCCCGGCCAGAGCTGCAGGGGGCATCGACTCTGGACAATAGCCTGGCTGTGCAAGCAAGTCCTCACAGGTTTGTCACCCTGTCCTGGGCTGTGACACAAGTCTATGGGCTGTCACCCTACAAACTAAACTCCCTTACTCTTTCTAAGCCTCGGCTACCTCATTAGAAAAATGGGCTTCAACATGCCTGCCCTGGGAATGGGATAAAAATCAAAAAAGAATCCAGACAAACAATCAGATTCCAGCACAAAACTAGCACGCAATAAAGTGGGTCTTGTACAACTTTCTTTTAATGAGACAGGGTCTCATGTAACTCTGGCTGGCCTCAAACTCTATGTAGACCAGGCTGGCCTCGAACTCAGAGATCCGCCCACCTCTGCCTCCCAAGTGCTGGGATTAACAGTGTACACACCATCACACCCAGTTATAATTTGAAAAGAAATTATTGTATTTTTATTTGTATTTGTGTGTGTGTGTGTGTGTGTGTGTGTGTATCCAGAGAAGAGGTTGTCATATCCTCTGGGTCTGGATCCATGGATAATTGTGATGTTGGGGCTAGGATACAAACTGGGGTCCTCTGAAAGAAGAGCAAGCCCTCTTAACGGCTGAGCCATCTCTCAGGCTCTTAAAACTTTATCTGAATTCCTAGAACAGGCGCTATTTAGCCACTGTTTTTGTTTTTTGTTTGTTTGTTTGTTTTTTGGTTTTTTGAGACAGGGTTTCTCTGTGTAGCCCTGGCTGTCCTGGAACTCACTCTGTAGACCAGGCTGGCCTCGAACTCAGAAATCCACCTGCCTCTGCCTCCCAAGTGCTGGGATTAAAGGCGTGCACCACCACTGCCTGGCAAGCCACCGGTTTTGACAGTTGGTACACACAGTCACTGACTTAATAAGGCTCTTTAGAACGCCACATGTAACATTTATTGCTGAATTCCAAACTTAATGGGCAAACAATCACAGAGATTAACGTCACAACTGAACTCTGAGTTTCTTAATCAATACAGGCCTCAGCACTAGTTTGCTACAGCTTAAAATAGTGACTCCTGGGATCTACTCACTGGCTAGCTAGCCTCAGACTCACATGAGATCTGGCCATCTCTGCCTCCCAAGTGCTAGGATCAAAGGCGTGCACGACCATACCTGGCAGATACAGGATTTTTTTTTTGGGGGGGGCATTGCTAGATCAGAAGTTTGAGGTCAGCAAGACCACTATTTCAGGGAGGGAGGAAGGGAGGGAGTGAGGGAGAGGGGTGGGTGGGAGCGAAATGCAGGCTAGGACAGCTTCTACAAACCTCTTCTTTAACTTGCTACCCAGGCACTGATTTCCTCCGTCTACCTGTGCCCAGGATAAACTTAGATTCCTCTTTGTTTAGCCCCAGCTACCCCCTAGAATTCCCCCAGCCAACACCTCTGCCTTGGCTTGGATACCTTTTATTTATTTATTTTTTATCTTCTACCTCAACTCCGACTTCCTGTTTTCCTAACTGTTCCGAAGGAGAACGTCCCCCTACTTAGGTTCCCACAAGGTCCACAGAATGGGGCACAAAGACTGGAGATCCCCTACGGGAGGCCTGTAGTTAAACAAGGTGACCGCTGCCTTGTGCCCCACAGGCTTGGGACGCTGCAGCCTGCCCACCCTTCCCAAGCCGCATCTGAGAAATGCAAACTTGTCGCTGCACAATTAACGTGGGTGGAGGGGCTTGGGACCGAGCGCAGGCACCGGAAGGCGGAGGGCAGCTCCGTGCTCACCACCTGCTGGCTCCGGGTTCCAGTCAGCCTCACCCTGGACTCCATGAGCCGGTTCTTCTCTGCGTGAGCTTCCTTTAGCATCTTCTCCATCTCCTCGATCTTGCCCATGTCCAGACCGCTGGCGCTAGGAAGCGAAGGGGACGAGAGAGCGTTGTCAAGTGGGCTCAGGCGTATCGGGCAGAAGCTGAGGGCTGGAGGTAGGAGGCACCTGGACATGTTGTCAGGGGAGCAGGCTGAATTAGCCCCTGTGGAGATGCTGGTCTCCATGCTGTCTGAACTCTCCAGGCTCAGGGTGTCGTAAGCGTGTTCGCCCTCCTCTCCACGCTCCCTGCCGGCCGGCAGGTGGTGCAGGATGGAATGGTGCATGAGTGCGGGGAAGCCAGGGGGACCGGCAGGAAAGGGAGCCGCACCATGCAAGGCGTCCCACTGGCACTGAGCCTCGGCTGCTGCCTTCTGCTTCAGCTCGGCCAGTCGCCGCCTTTGCTCCTCGATCACTTGGTGCCCTGCAGGAGGGACGGTGGGAGTCACAGAAGGCTCCTCAACCACCAGGGAAGGGAACACTGGAGCATCACGGGCGAAGAGAGGAGGCGAGCAGGAAGAGGCTAACACAGAGCAGCCAGGCCCTGCCTCCACAGCTTCCAGACCCTGGCCCTATCAACTGTGCAGTTGTGCAGGCCAGTGTCTGCAGTCTGACTTCAGGCCCCTTTCTGCATCCTGAGCACACGCAGGGCACCAGAACTGCCCTAGCTGTGCCCAGGCAGCATGCCAGTCAGCTGATCCAGCTTTCAGCTGGGGCCTGTATAAATGAACAGGGCACATGCACCCACCGTGTCTCCTGGGGAAGGGGGGAGGGGAGCTGGTGGGAACCCTTGAACAGTGCAGAAGCGAATACAGCCAGAGCAGGAGGGACCAGGAAGAGGGAGGCAAGGATACCGGGAGCCAGGCTGAGAGCAACAGGGGAGACGAGATGGAGGTGCAGCCAGCCAGGCACCCCAGCCCAGCGAGGCCCAGGGCTATGCCGGTAGGCAGCAGAGCCTGGGCAGAACACATCATGCTAAAGTCAGGGCAGGGGCTGATTGGCCAAAGCGATGTCCTGAACCAATGCTCTACCTGCTGGGTCTTCGGGTGGGAGGGGCTCGGCAGGAGGTAACTCGACTGGTGTGGGGGGCCCAGGGAAGAGGGTGCAGGAGAGAGACACAGAGGGGGTAAGAGGAGACAAAGGCATAGACATGGGCTTTCAGAACAGCTGAAACACCCAGGCATAGGACTCCTGTCTGAAGAGCCCGTGTTTCGGGGAAACTGCTTCTGGAGGTCATTGTCACACCCGCCCCTCTGCTTCCCAAGTCTACCCTACTTGGTTAACCATTAAAACGTCCCCTTATTAGATGGGCCCTCTGAGATGTCACAGGCCTTCAGACCTTTCATCCCAAACTGAGGTTTTCTGAAAAGTCTCAGGTAGATCTTACTGAGATCTAATCCCTTCTGCTCATGCCCAGAGCCCAGTGACAGGAAAGATATCCCGTGAGAGGGCCGAGCATGCGTGAGGTGACAGAGGATCAGCCCAGGGAACGGAGGCAGGGACAGGCTGGCATTATAGCCACTTACCCTTTTGCTGTAGGGCCAGCTGGCGCTTGGTCTCAATGTCCTGCAGCGTGGCTGCCAGGTTGCGAGGAAGGCTACTGGTGCCATTCTGGGCGAGCAGAGCACTCTGGGAGGGGATGTACGAGCACTGGTATTGGGGCTCAGCAGACCCCAACCTTACTCTTAGCCTCTGCCCAACATGGCTACCTCCATCCCCACCATCACCCATGTCCTCAGACCTTTGGGGAAGGACTACGGCCCAGGGTAGCCACGCTGAGCTGTGAAGAAGAGGATGAGGAGCCTGAGGAAGAGGGGAGAGGGCCGCTGCGGGCCCTGGGCAGGGAGCTGGCCGGATCACCATCCATTTTGGAGCGGTAAACCTGGAGGAGAGAGATACTACGCAGTGACCCTCCAGCTTCCGCACTGGCTGCCACGTCACAGCACCTAACCCAGCTGTGATCTAAGGTACTACCCTGGCACAGGACCTAAGACCTTCTGTCTCTAGCAGACAGTAGGATTGAGCCTCTCAAGCAAGAACAGTGGGTAGATGCTACTGGCAACTGCCAAGCCTCCTTTCCAGCCCTTCCCTCCATGAGCCGGTCTCCAGCCAGACCCTGGACCCTGTAAACCCGTGTAGGAAGTTAGTGTCAGCTGGGCAGAGCTGGGCAGGAGGCTAAGTGGAGGCCAGGTCCCTGGTCGTAGGTTGGCTGTTAGCAGACTGAGTGGCCTTGAGCCACACACCTCCTGCCCTGCCCCTGGGCTTTCTCATCTGTAAAGGCAAGGGCAGAGCCAGACAGGTAACTGGCAAACTCCCTCTCAGACAGGTGGAGTCAGGAGGAGCTCTTGAGTCTTCCGCCTGAGCAGCATGGGTAAAAGCATCTTTTTTTTGCTCCGTGCTTTAGCCTTTGAACACCATCTACCTCAAAGGCCTGTGGAGGGGGTTCAACCATCAGAACTTGTCCAAGCCTCCATCCGTGAGAGGTACCACTTGTGTTACACGAATCAGAATCTTCCCAGAGGAACCGAAGGATGTTAGCCAAGGCCACAGCCTCAGAGATGCAGTTCCTTCACTGAAGAACGGATTTTGAAGGTGGGATTATCGGCGCCATGGCATGTTAAGCGAGCAAAATTTGGAAGAGTATACAAGTACCCTCGCCCACTACACTCGGCACTGCTGGAGACTCAAGAGATTACGGTGTGGCCACACAGGTTAACTCTCCGGGGCTGTCTTTCATAGAACCTTTCTCTGGCTCCAAGTTACCATGGGAACAAACCAGCAAAATAGCTTCCCCAGGTCACACTAGTCCTGCCTGCAGCAGGCCAAAGGACACATCAAGCACCAGGTCTGAGTGAGCATCTTTGGAGAAAAACTCCTTTCCATTGGTCAATCAATCTTGACCCCCTTGAGCCCCAGTGATGCCCAAGGTACTAGAATGGCAACACGGCTGCCCAAGAAAAGAGATTGTTGCCCTCTCTGGGCCCCAAGGATCCTCTTTGCTCTGCTGGGCTGATCCCATGATCCCATGACCCTAGGTGTACACTGTGCCTGAAAGACTGGCACAAGGTGCTCACGGCAGACAGGAACAGGACCTGAAGACGACAGGCGGAGAGGGTTACCTGCAGCTGACGGGAAGCTTTGGCAGGCAGAGGCGGGGGAGAGGAGCGAGGGGAGGCTGCAGCAAGGCCAGTCCCCAGCCCGGCCATCAACTCCTGGTACCACTGCTCTAAGTCTACAGCAGGGAGCAACAGCTTCTCCATCTGGAGGGGGAGGGGAAAGGGAAGGAGGGAGAGGAAGGGCCAAGATAAGGAGGGGAGAGACGGGAAGAGGAGGAAGAAGGCAAGGAAGGGAAGAGAGAGGCCATGTGGGGGACATGGGAAGGAAGGTTTGAGGGAGGGAGGAAGGAAGGAGAGTATAAGGAGAAGGAAGAGAAAAACAGTGAGACAACTGGGCAGACTGTGCTGAGAGCAAAGAGAAACAGTCAGGGTACAAGCTCCAGAGCACAGATGTGTGCTATGTCAACAGCCGGGCAGCCAGCACCTGCAGGCGTCAGGCACAGCCTCTAGGCCCTCCGCTGGCTTAGAACACGGAGGCCTGTGAGCAGGGCAACACACAGCCCCAGCAGCCGTGGAATGGAGGGGATGGGAAGGACATACAGACCACCCACCTTAGACGAAGGCGAGATGGAAGTGAAGGAAGAGGGCAGCATGGGAGGAAGACAGATGATGGGAACCAAGTCCTGGGAGGCAGAAGCCCAGGAAGGCAGGCCTGGCGGAGGGCGTGGGAGCATGGGTGGGGTGCCCCACATCACTCTTAGCTGCTCAAGCGTCACATACTTGAGAGAAGGGCGGCCACGGGAGGGAATACAAAAGATTAATGGGGGTAGAACCCAAGAGATGGCCCTGACCATGGGGGAGGGGAAGGGTAGGACCATAGAGAGAGACCAACCCTAGGAGAGAGCCAGCATTCTCTCAGCAAGATTCTCTCCTTGAAGATCAGGAGGCAGGGCCTGCCCCTCTCAGGCCATTCATTAGGTGTTCAGGAGAGCTCACAAGGTCCCATGGATGAAAGTGAACCGCGTTCAACCCTCAAGGCCAAGTGAAGACCTTATCTGCCCCGGCCCCCACCCAGGCTGAGAGGCAATCGAGGCCCTTGGGCATAGGTGGGTACAGTCTGTGGCTGGTACTTTGCTGTCAGGCAAGGACTCGGGGAGCCTGCAGGGGCAGGTAGCAGAAGCACAAGGGGGCCAAGCAAGAGCACAGCTGGAGAGCCTCAGACAGGCTCACACACTCCTAGGGTGCCCAGGGTGGGGGACAGGGAAGAAATGAACAGTTTCAACCAAGGAGTCAATACCCCACACTCCATGCCAAGCTAGATTCATCACTTTGTGTGGATGCAGAGACTAGAACAAAGGGTGTTCAGTAGCCGACTATAGCCATAAAGGCGGTAGGGAAAACAGACTTGAAAAGGGGCAGGCAGAACCAACAGTGGAAGGCTCAACTCCACCTCAGCTCTGGAGGCTAACATAGCATTTAGTTGCTGCCTGGAGAACCAAAAAAAAAAAAAAAAAAATATCTGTGGATCAGCCCTGGGCTGAGGAAGCCCAGAGACGGCTTTCCAAAAGCACAGGGAAAAGCAGGACCCAGATCCTAGAACCCCATCTGCCTGTCACACTGGGCATCCCCGGTTGGCCACACGCATGCAGCGCTCAGCACTAGTCACACAGCAGTGCCCAGGAAGGGGAAAGGTCCCCAGAAGACGATCATCAGAAACGGGGGCAGGGGAGTGGAGATACCACTCGGGCCTGAGCAAGACAAGCTTGGAGAAACAGGCCTGGCCTTAGCAGGGAGCAACCTCTGTGTCAGCATAAAAGTGGGCCCACTGTTCAGGCTAAGTATGTGGAAAGATGTCAGCCCACTTCACTGGAAGTTGGGACACAAGGACTGTGATTCTCCATCGCCTGTCCTTAAGTCCTGAGATCATCTGGGGGCTGGTCATTTATATTTCCTTCACCAAAGGAGATCCCCTAGGCTGCCTATCCAAGGTGCCCAATCTAGCCCCAGAACCAGATGACCTTCTCGGGTCAGAGAAAAGCAAGATGGGTCAGAGAGTTCAATGTGTTGTGAACAGTGGAGAATGGCGTGCAGGTTACATGCAAGTTAATGCTATTATTTTGCATGGGCTGCCTAGGCCGTGAATGACATCATGGTACAAGCACAAACTCTCAAACTGCCAGCTAGAGGATATGCCACATGCCCTTCAGCCCTCCCTGGGAAGAGCTAGAGGCAGGGAGGCAGCGGGCAAAGCGGAACGAGTCAGCTGGGGTTACCTCTTGTGCTTTGGGACAGAGCTGAGTGGAAGCAGGAGGGGTTAAGGGAACAGAGGAGGCCCCAGCCTCACAAGACCTTGGGGACTGGCCCAGAGCTTTGGTCTCCAGCCCTATCTCTGAGGCCTCGGAGATGAGCAGCCGAGCCTACAAGAGGAAACACGGTGAGAGGGAGTCTCACCCTTAAGGCTCAAGTCTATCACCGTATCCCAGACCTAAACTGCTTGGGCGATCAGACAGAAGAAGGGGAAATAAAAGTCTGGAAACCAGGCACGTCCTGACTGGACTTCCCACACCAGATGTACAGGTCTGGGAAAGAACTACTCAATTCAAGGCCTACTTCCAAGCTGAAAGCCTAGCTTCAGACAGGAGCTCCAGGGAAAGGAGACTTAGATCCCCGTATCCTAGGTAGGGTCTACCTAATCCTGCACTTTACTAAATCCTGAGTTCTCCACCACAGGGCCCCTGGGCCTCACAGCCACAGGGTGAGGTCCCAAAGCTAAGTAAAAGGCCGTGGCTATAGAGGCTGAAGATCAGCCTCTGGGGCCATCCGCTTCTAATCTCTCCAGTTCAGGAAGTGCCCAGGAACTTCACCCAGAACTCAACCACCCAGGAAGTAGGTAGCTCACCAAACTCTGGAGCCTCTCAGGATCCCCCCTGAGGCTGGGGGCTAACCTGGTCGCATTACCTCTTTCAGGGTGGAGGTGGTCTTCGGGAAAGGCCTGCCACCCGTGAGCGAATGATATCTCCTTTCAAGCACAGTCAGCCTCTCCTTCTCCTGGAGCCCGGAATAGCAGGGGTCAGAGACATGGTGAGTCAGAAACACAGGAGGGAGGAACCCTGTAAGGACCCACACCCCACTCTTGTGCTGCAATCCCACCCCAACGTCGGGTACTCGGCTCCCCTCACCCACACCCAGCACCTCAGCACCCAAGGCCAGCTACCTTTTGCAGTAGCTGCAGGGCAGCATTCTTTTCCCGGGCCAGACGCTCTGATTCCTGCACTGCTTGAGCCCGGATCTGCCCAGCCTGACTGTCCAGTACAGCTAGGCGCTCCTGAGGAAACGGGATGCGATCAGGCCCTGGAGGGACATAACTTAGCCCACAGCCTGACTGATTCTACTATCCAGAGACCCAGGAAGCTGTGAAGGCAACCGCCACATCTCACGCTTGGCCTCAACTCACCCCAGGAGAACTCTGGTTAAGGAGAGTTCCTCCCTCCCCGGAGCCAGTGACCCTTGTATCATCAGGCATGATGAAACCAATCCCCCAGTCTCTATTCCCTCACCCCACAGCCAATGGCTCCCAAAGCCTGGTGACACTGAAGTTATCCCTCTGGCCATCCCCCACTGCCATCGCTGGAATCCAGGTTCTCCACTTCCTACTTCTTTACCAGCTCTCTCACAATCTCTAGATCCAAGCCACATTTCTACGTGGTCCGAAAATAACCTTTGAACCCTGTCTGCTTATCTGAATTTCCTAACCATCCTGAAAAGAATTCCCTATTACTTGAGTCATTTTGTTTGCTTGATTTTGGTTTTTCGGTCTTGCTATATAACCTAAACTGGCTTTAAAGTCACACTACAGTCCAGGCTGGCCTTAAGCTGACTCTGGAGTGTAGGCAAGTCTTGAACTCACGGCAATCCTCTTGCCTCAGCCTCCTGAGTTCTGAACCATCATGCCACGGTTTTCCTTCGGTTTTGAGACCAGGTCTCATGCACCCTGGGCTGGACTTGGCTCCCGGCCTCAGGTACTCTTCTCACCTCAATCACCAGAGAAACTGGGACACATCTCCTTAGAACCCCAGTGTGGACCACAACACTGGCTCTTCAGTAACTTTAAAAATAAACCTCAACCAGATGAGAATGAAGAGATGGCTCAGGGGCGTTCCCTGGTTGGTCTTCTTCAAGACCAAGGATTCATTCCCAACACCCACGTAGCAGCTTACAACTGCCTGTAATTCCAGTCCCAAGGGATCCAACACACACACATGGTGTACAGACACACGGGCAGACAGAACGTCTATTCAGATAAACCAAAACAAACAAACAAAAAATAGCAAGGTCAGATTACCCGTCACCTCAAAATCTTCCAATGGCTCTTCACTACTCACAGGCTAGAACACAAACTCCTCAGCCAGCATTTAAGGGCTCTGAGGTGGCTTGCCTGACTGTTCCTTCATGCACCTAGCTCTGCCATGCTGTACTCTAAACTGTGCTACTGTAGACTTCTTAGTCTATCACTCTGTTGGGATGAGGGCCATTCCAGTTTTTTTCTGCTATTCCAAGGCTCCGCCTCCAAGGCCAGGCTGAATGCCACCTCCTCCCCAAAGCCTTCCTTGATTGCCAATCCATCTCCTTCCTCCTGCCTATGTGTTCACATTAGTTTATATCCATCTACCTCGTCATACTGCGATCTGTGACCAAATCAGCCCCGCCCTCTCTGTAAGATCAGGGGCAAGACCAGTGTCATTTCTGTCTCCAGAACCCCGACGGGGGCTTAGCACAGCACCTGGCCCAACAACCACGTGCTAAAAGAAAATGAAAATATTTTGAGGGCTGGAGAGATGGCTCAGTGGTTAAGAGCACTGACTCCACTTCCAGAGGTCCTGAGTTCAAATCCCAGCAACCACATGGTGGCTCACAACCATCTGTAATGAGATCTGATGCCCTCTTCTGGTGTGTCTGAAGACAGCTACAGTGTATTCATATATAATAAATAAATAAATCTTAAAAAAAAGGAACTACTAGAAAATATTTTGAGAGGAAAAGATGAAGAGCTAGGCAAGACATGTTGAATTCATCTCAGGAGGTCTTCAACCATCACTTAGGAGCGGCACACGGGAAGGGGAGGCACCAGGAAGGGAGCTATCCTAAACCTGGGAGTCAGCCCATGCAAAGAAACGGAAACAGCAGACAGGAATCTCACAGCCGCAGCTGGAGCTCGGAACGTAGGAGGACTGGAAGTGCGACTGAGTGTTTTATCTGCTCCTTGATCTAACCTTATACAGGTGCTTTATGCCTGTCGTAGAACACGGACGTGTTTAGGAGCTAAGATTTACTGGGTAGTAGTGGTGAACTCAGGATTAGAACCAGACCTGTAGGAGAGCTTTCTTAACTGCTCTGCACCACGGTGGACAGACACTCCTCTAGGGAAGACAGAGCTTGAGGGGACTTCTGCAGGGACGAGGGCTGGACAAAGCTCACCAGGATAGGAAAAGATGTCACAATGCACATACATACGCACACATATACATGTGTGTGCATACACACACACACACACACACACACTCCAGGTATTACAGCCTGACCTGGCTTCCCAACCCAACCCAACCCTAGGCTGGGCACAAAGAGAAGAGACAGAGTCCCTGGACCCTCCAGGACCTCCAAGGAATCAGCTGATGTGGGGCTCCTGGCTGTATCCTCTCTAAGCAGAGGAAGAACAGTGAAGAAATGCCAACCCAGATGACATGTGGCACAGCAGAAATACCTTGGGCTTTGGAGCCTAAGGAAGCCTAGCAGGCTTGGGTTCCCGTCCTGACTCTGAAACGGCTGTGAGAGAAGGCTCTGTGCAAACAGGTAGTTTCTGAGTCCTAGTCACTCACCTATAAAACTAGGCAATCCCCTAGGAAGAACACAAGGAAACTCAGGGAATGGGTCTAGTAGGGTCTGCCACATGACCATGGGAAATGGTAGTTTTCTTCCTTTCCTGCATCTTCTATCAGGACAGTGAGTGCATTTAAAAAATATATATTCACTTACTTTATTTTACACGTGTTTGTGTGAGTGTATATCTGTGTACTATCTGTATACCAGACATATAGCCAGAGGTCAGAAAAGATGTTGAAGTGCTCTTACCTACTGAGCCATCTCTCCAGTCCCCAAGGGGACACTTTTTTTTTTTTTTAAATGGCAGAACAGGGAGAGAAACAAGGAATCTGAATTTAGGAAATCCAGTGGCTCCCTCTTACCACTGAACCCCAGGCTAGCCAGGAGGTCCCCATCTCCCATTTGAACCCTATTTGCCAGACTTTGCTGTCCTTGCCTTCCACATACACTGTAGCCAGGAAACTGCACGTTATATGGGCCTTTGAAGCAGTCCCAGCCATAGACGCTGGCATCACCTAAGCCACGCCCCCCAACGCTGCACCCCCACACCATGATTCTCACTAATGAGTGGTCCATCCTCTGTCACACTCTATGACTGGTGTGGCTGAGTCTACAGCTTTAGCAAATCAGAGCTGACCAGGGACATATAGTCTGAGTGGGACCAAAGCAGAAACCCAGGTGGATACTCTTCCTAGCTAGGCTAGCATCCAGACCTTAGGTCTCTCTGTGTATCCCAGAACTACCAACAGCTCTAGAAAGGGCATGGACAGGGATGGAGCTGAATGACAAGAGATACAGCTCAATGGCAGATATGTGCTTAGCATACAGAAGGCTCTGGGCTGGATCTCCAACACCGTGTAAGAAGACATTCAAGGGCAGTAGCAAGGCACCTCAGCTACGGACTCGTCCTCCACCTTCTTTTCCTGGACACACTACTGTCAGCTCCCAGTGTGAGCAATTCCACTTTCCCCTGAGAGACTGTGGAGAGCCAGGGTTTAAAAATACTGTCTTTGCTGAGCCCGGGCTGCCATCATATGCCATTCTGCCTTTGCATATTAATTTCACACCAACCCTATAGTTCTCATTTTTACCGATAGTCACTGATTAACAGACACACAGAAAGGTGTCTTTTGGGTCGTTCACAGACTGTGACAATCCCAGGTCACTAGCCTCCATCCTGCTATGCGGGCGTGAGCCGCGCACGCACCTTTCTCTTGCTCACGCTACGCAGCAACTCAGCCTTGCTCCTGAGCAGCCCTTGGCTGGCCAGCTCCCGCTCCTCCTCCACGCGACTCTCCCGCTCCAGCTGCTGGAACTCCAGGTCCTCAAAGAGCTTCGTCTCAGTCTCTAGAGCGTCTGCCTCCTTCAACGACAGTGACATCGGGTTTGGGTGGAGGGATGCTCTCTAAGCCACTCTGGGCCAGGAAGGCCAGGCCACAGAGCCGTGAGTTATGGGGGGGCTGACCCCGGGGAAACTAGGGAAGGAACCGGTCCCACCGCCCAACCCCCACTATTAATTTTGGCTGAGCCCTTTTCGAGGGACATCGCCGTCTGGAGCGCTGATCCCCACCCAACCTTGCCGGTGGCCCCTTCCAAGCCACTGCACCGACCCTGTTGTCCAGCAAGTACTGCAGGGGGCCAGGCGGTCCTGTCCCACCGCTCTCCTATCTTCGGTCTGGGCGGTGGCCCACGGGGGCCGGGGGAGGGGGCTGGTGGAACTGACCCTTCTCAGCTGCTCCTGTAACTGTTCCCGCACTGACTCGGGGCAGTTATCGAGCTGCGTCTGGAGCTCGGCGTAGAGCGCCTGGCGGGCCTCCAGGTGCCTCCGTCCCGCGGCCAGCTCCGCCCTCTCCTGGTCGGCGGGAGGGGAGGGAGGCGGGGCACAGGGGAGAGAGAACACACACTCCTCAACTCCGGCCCGGCGCGGGGGGCAGGGGCGAGCACAGGGGTACACCGGGAGTGGGGGGCAAGCATCGAGACGGAAGAGAGCAGAAGCAGAGGTTTAAGAGGGGACTCAGGCAGGGGGACGGTGCGACAAAGGCAGAGGTGTGGGGGCAGGGTGGAAATGTTGGTCCCTTTAGAAATGTTTAGGAAGGTCCTTAAGACAGGACCTTCCGCTTCCGCTCCGAGCTAAAGTTTAAAGCTGGTGCAACAAGGCAAGTCCCCAGCTTCGAGTTCTATCACTGTCCCGAGACCAAAATTTAACCCTAGGGAAAATAGGGGTGGTGGGAAGGGTTAAATCCAGGATTTGGGAGTAAACGAGGAGCTAAAGTTAAGAGTTACAGCGGTGCAGCAAGGGAACCCCAGCCCAACCCCCATTGACCTCCCTCCCCTCCTGCCCAGGGTTGGGGGCGGGGTGCCAGCAAAGCAGGCTGAACTTCAGTAGGGATGAGGGTTGCAATTAGTTCGGCCCGTTGCCATGGTAATAGGAGCCCCAGGAGTGGATACAGGGAGGAGGTGGATGGCTCTGTCTGGGGCGAGATGACACCTCTGAGGGCGGAAAGGGGGACGAGGGAGGAGTTGGGTGAGTCACCCCTCCGAAGGACAAGCAGAGGAGAAACTGTGATTACTGATTCCAAAGTCAGAGTGGGGCCATGGGCTGGAAGCTGGGCGGGAAAGTCAAGAGAACCTTCCCAACACCACCATCAGCATCAGAACCACCACCACCACTACCACGTTCACCATCAAGCCTCAAACACCGGGACCGGGAGGAAGGCAAAGTCCAGGGCTGTGAGCAATCTCAGCTAAGTGAGGCTAGGCAAGCTGCTTGTGGAATGCCTTACCTCTAAGGAGTATATCCCTATGCTGTGCCCCAGTTCACCTACCCATCCTGGAGGGAAAACCTTGGTCAAGCCAGTCCTGAGGTCTAGACACTACTGCCTTTAAATTATCCTGTGTTCTAGGTGGCCTCCAGAAGTAGAGGGAGGGAAAGGAACATCTGAATTCAGGGAAGCAAGAATGGGTAGCCAGCCACTCAGAAAGGCCCTGTCCAAGGCCTCCAAGACTGTGCCCACATCTGGACCTCCTTATTACTCAGTTCCGGGGGATTAGGCAGGAGAGACAAACAGCTCACTCCACCTCCAACCCCTGCCCTTCAGTAAGCGGCCAACATTGAGGAAGTAAAGCCCAGACCTTTCCAGTAGGAGGTACTGTTTGGGCAGAGCATCTCTGGTCATGCACGCCTCCCTGAAACACACACACACACACACACACACACACCCTTATACTCCTCCTGTCAGTGATCCACTAAGCAAAATTTAGCTGTGCCTTCCTGTCAGTTCTCTTCTGATAATGGGGACCCACACCAAGAAAAGGAGGCAACATTAGAGGGGAGAGGCCCCAGGGCACAAAGGCACCCATGGAGTTAGTATAGCTGGCATAACTCAGCCCTGCCTGGGCGGCCTGGCAGTTAGGGGCATGCGAAGAGCCCAGGACAGTGATTAGAGGGGGCGTTAGTGCAGGCCTGGTCGGCAAGCATGGGGTTAATCTGGCACAGAATCTGGGAGTGTGGTTTTGGGGGCCAGAGCCAAAGCTCCATTAAAAAAGGGGGGGGGAGCAATGAATTTTTAAGAGCCTCAAAATTGCGAACAAGAGGAAGATAACTCCCCAAAATAATCCAGAAGGAAAATTAAACTTTTTAGAAAAAAATACTGTCAAATCCAGAAATAGATGAACCCTCTCCATACTTCAGAGTTTTGGCACGCCGTTGGGCATCTTGGACATGGCTGGCACAACCCCTGTGGGACGGAGTAACCCCTGAAGACTGGCACTCAATCTGAAAGGGTCAGGGGCAGGGCTGGGACCATCTGGGATGGGAGGTTGCAGATCCTGATGATAGGAAACAGAGGCCTGTGGGCCATCTCCCAAAGACCACATCCTAGGCACCCTGAGGCATGCTGGAGCGCTGAGGTTTCTCCTCATGGTGGGCTCCAAACACGAGTCATGCCTTCTGCCCCAGCAGCACCAGTCCTTCAGGCTGTGCTCACTGCCCAAGAAAGGGCGTTGGCACTTCCTAGAAGAACCACACAGGCTCCAGAATGGCAGGCACCCAGGCAACCAGAGGTAGCACAGAGATCTAGACCCCAAACACCAGCCCAGTCCCTGGCAGTACCATCCAAGCTTGTATCTTCCACAGAGAACAAGGGCCCCTGACCCTAGAGGGCTACAGAGACCACTTGGTATGTAGGATGGATGCGGAGGGACGTACATTCCCCAGGGAAGGCATATCTCCTTCTCTTCTGGGCCACCGGTAGTCAGGTATGGGTTACCTTGTCCCTCTCCTTCTGGATGCCTGTCTCCAAGGCCACCAACTTCTCCTGCAGCTGCTCCAAGGCCCTTTGCTCCTTCTGCAGCAGTGCTCGCTCCGCCTCCCTCTCCCCCTGCAGCAGTGCCCTCTCCATTTCAGCCTAGACACAGACATCAGGATCCTCATCAAGGCGGGGGAACTAAAGGTGGGGAACTAAGGGTGGGGCCCCATCCCAGGGCGGCACTTCTCCCAGCCAGGTCACCTCTCGGGCTGCCTCCTGCAGCTGCTGTTCCAGCTCCTTCACTCGGGCCTTCAGCTGCTCCACACGCCCCAGAACCTGAGCCCGCTCCTCTTCCACAGCCAGCACCTCTCCGTGGAGCTTCGCACCAGGAGCATCTTCATGCTGGAGGGGAGGAGAGCACCATGGGAGAGAAGTCTAGAACCTTCCAGGATCACACGCTCCTCAAAGCACTTGGAAGGGGTAACTCTACTAAAACAGGAGGCCACTTTCCTCCCAGTCAGGGAACTCAGCTATAGGGAAAGGATTTACCACAGTGCCAGGGTTGGGTGGGGCCCAGAGGAAAAACAGGTCATAAAGTGCATTTATAGCTTGGGAAAGTTACGGTCACCTCCTTTCCCTCCTTACACCCACAGTTCTTCACTTCTGGTCTCACCCAAGCCTTGATCCCTTTGCCACCACCACACTGGCCCCACCCCGGCCCCTCACCTCCTGCTGGGTGCTCTCAGTGCTGCTGCACTCCTCTTTGAGATTCTCTTCATCAGAGCGCTCCATGCTCTCCCACAGGCGCTGGGAGGCACCTCCAGACTCCTCGCCACTCCTCCCAGAGACTACGATGGCTCCTGCCAAGCCTCTTGAGGGCCTCCTGCCTGCCAACGCCAGCGCTGCCGTGGCCTCTCCAATACTGGGCAGTTCCCCAGCCTCGGGTCCCCCGTCAGCTCGGCTGTACTCAGCACACAGGTTCAGGATGGTCTCCAGGCGCTGGCGCTCCTAGGGACAATGGACAGGGTAGAAGTCTGAGACCCAGTGTGGCTTGAGCCAGGGCATGTTCAACCCTAGAACCTCTGGGCTTGGCATCATGAGGATAGCCTCAACCTTAAGAACTGTGGGAGACCAGGTGGTGGTCCACAGCACTCTGGAGGTAGAGTGGCAGATCTCAGAATCTGAGGACAGCCTGATCTACAGAGTGAGACTCGGGCCATCCAGCCAAAGACTATAGTGAGAACCTGTCTTAAAAGAAAAATCTATGGGAAGCAGAGGGCAAAGAAGGTTCCTCAAAAGAGATGGGGCCATATGTCACCTGTCCTCTTGCTGGCCCCTCCCACCTCCCTGTTTACTCTCTCTTGGATGAAGCTTCTTCATAGTCACACAGAGACATCCAAACACACATGGGAACATACAGGGTAAGCAGCCTAAAGACCAGAATGAAGTCAGGGGTTGGTACTGCTGCTGCACGCCTTTAATCCCTGGAGACAGAAGTAGAGGGATTTCTGTGAGTTCAAGGCTAGCCTGGTCTACAGAGAGAGTTCCAGGACAGCCAAGGCTACATGGAAAAGCCAAAAAGACCATAATGAGACACAAAGCCATCGAGTGCTCATGTTGACACAGGTATGTATATATACAGGTTTGGGGACAAGGGCACACTGATAGATTAGTTCTGCCACATAGGCACACACAGACACTCCATGTGCCCTGGGAGGTACATCGGCATTAACAAGTAGGTGCACACACACAGAGATAAACACAGTCTACACAGTCTACACACAGCTGGGTGGGCACCTGCAGACAGCCAGGGCTGGGAAATAGAGCACGGACCACAGGACCTGACGACAGTCCAGACACAGAGAGAAAAGGCGGAGAGGACACTGTCTTTCCAGCCCCACCTTAGCTCCAAGTCACTCGGGCTGCTGTCCCTTTGCTCCTTAAGGCACCGTAAGCTGGCTAGGTGTGATGGAGGACTCTCTGGCTGCCACTCTCTTCTCTCATTATAAATCCCAATGCAGACATGGTCACCTCTCAGGATGCCTAGGACTCGAGGGAACTCCAGCAGTCATGTTCCTGGTCCCTATCCTACACATCCGTCTGTAACACCCGAGTCCTGGCTTTCAAGCCCAGAGAATTCCAGTGCTTTCTGGGGTCTCTGATCCCAAGTACCTCTCATCACCTATCTTCTGGCCTCACCTTCCCATCCCACAAGACTTACCGGCTTCCTTCCTGTTGCTTGCCTGGTTCTGTGGCAAAAAACCCAGGAACCAAGCCTCAGCACCCAGGAGGTTGGGCCAATGCCTCACCCCCGCCCTAGGACCCAGATAAGCAGCCTGGCTAAGGTGGGAGGGGCAGGGTGCGGGAGGCCTCTGACTTAAAGTGGCAGGTGGGGCAGGTTGGGGCTGGCTGGTGAGGTGTGTACCTGTGTGTGGGGATGGGGGTGGGGAGGCTGGGCCTAGCACTTGACTATGCCAGATTCCTCAGCCCTCCTGGGATCAGAATCAGGGGTCACCAAAGCACAACAGTGACCAGAAGGTGTAACAAATACAGACCAGGAGTCCTGACTCCCACAAATATATCATCCCATACCCTCACCCGACCCTGACCAATCTCTTCCCAGATTCTTCAAACATCCTCCTCAAACCAATTCCAGGGTACCTGTGTCTCAAAATACCCTGGGCTTCTGCTCTTGAGGGGAGGAGGGGAAAATCCATGTTCTCGTGTGTAGGCTCTGAGTGTGTACCAGCAGCCAATGCCCCTGGAGCTCCCTGTGCTATTTGGGGGAATCCCAGCCCCCTCTCCCAGCTCAGATGCCATCTCTAAAACAGCTGCCCAGAACCACACCCAGACTCGGCAGCACCCACATTTATGCAGGCAGACACATACAATCACAGAGGCAGACCAGGGGGGCTGCCCACCCTGACTTTCCCTGTTCCTTAACACCACACTCAGAGAGGACCCATCCGAGCCAGAGTAAGTGATTCATGCCCATTTGTAGATGCCAAAGAGAAGCAAGAAAGGGGGACCAGAGTTTTCCTAAGGGTAAGTCCGAGGTCAAGGTGCTTGTTTGCATACAAGCCTGATGACCTGCGTCTGATCCCTGAAACCCATGCAGAAGAAAAAGAAAGAATGACTCCACAAAAATTGTCCCCTGGTCTCCACGCACTCATCATGGCGTAGGTCTCCATCAACACACACACACATACACACACACACAGACACACACAAACACACACAACACACACAGACACACACACAGACACACACACACACCACACAGACACACAGACACACACAACACACACAGACACACACAATACACACAGACACACACAACACACACAGACACACACAACACTCACAGACATACATAGACACACACAACACACACAGACATACACACCACACACAACACACAACACACAGACATACACACCACACACAACACACACACAACATACACAGACACACACACACCACACACACATACACCACACACACAACATACACAGACACACAACACATAGACATACACACAGACACACAACACACAGACATACACACACACAACACACATACACAGACACACACACACACACAGAAACACACAAGACACATACACACTCAATAAATAAAACCTTTAAAAGAAGGACTCCCCCCAACCCCAGCCCAAGCATGGTGACATGTGTGTAATCTCTACTCAGGAGACAATCAGAAAGATCATGAACTCAAGCTCAACCTGGGCCACACAGCAAGCTCGCTGCCACACTAGGTTACACAACCAAAAAAAGGAGGAACAGGAGAGAGAAATAATTCTAGGACTGGGGCTATAGCTCGATGCTGTAGTGCTGTCCTGACATGTCAAAGCTCCTAGGTTCAAGGTCTGGTACCATACAAAAAAGGCCAAATAAATAAATGTTCCTATCTGAGCCTCAGCCTCAAAACTTGCTTTTCAAACTCAGGGATGCAAGACTTCACTGTAAATGTGGTATGCCTTCCTGAAACACTGCGCTCGGGCAAACACGATGAACCTAACTCACACAAATGATCTGCCGTAGAATAAATGCAAAATTAGCAAGAATTTAAAACCAAGACTTAGGGGCTTGGAAGACAGCTCGGCTGGCCAAGGTCTCCAGGACCTGAGTTTGGTCCTCCAGTAATTCTAGAACACACATACAGAGACAGAAGCTCCCTGGGGCTTGTTGTCCTGTCAGTTCAGCCAAATTAGTATGTCTCAGGTTCAACGTGAGACTGTCTGAAAAAATGAAACCAAAGAGCAACCAAGGAAGCCGTTCTCATCTCTGGCCTGCACACCAACACACAACTGCACACCGACACACCCGTGCACATGCATGCGCACACACATACAAAACTAAATAAAAATGTAGAAAGCCGTAGCGATTTCAAAGACGGTTCCTCTTCAGGGCACCAGGATCATGAGATACAGGCCACTTAACCTGATGGTTCATCCTGAATCAGGCCAGGCCCTGTACATGGCCCCTCCTGTTCTGCCAGCTGGCCAGCCCACACCCTGGCAGAGGCGCTGCCTTGGGCAGCGGCAGCCTCCCTGGCATTCATTGGCTCACCAGCCTCTCCATCTCCTGCTCCCGGAGCCTCTCTTGGCGCTGCCGTCGGTGGTATTCCAGGAGATCATCCTCATTGCCGCTGATCTCCGTGATGCTATTTTTCCTCTCCCTTGGGATAGGCACCCGCAAGTCCCCACTGGAAAGCTTCCTCTGAGCACGGGGGCTCTGACGAGGTGAGGCCCCAGTGAGAGAGCCCAGACTGTAGGCTGGGCTCAGCCTGCCGCTGAAGCTGCCCTTTCGAGGTGCCAGGGACTCCCCGAGTGTGGGCGAGGGACTCCGAGTCCTGCGGCCCCGTGTTCCTAGAGTCAGGGAGAAGTCCTCAGGTGAAGTTCCATGGGCTGCCCAGCGCCGGGGCCGGGGGCTCTCAGCCACTTCCCTGCTTAGCTTGGGATCTGGAGCAGTCCGGGCTGGCAGTGGGGACAGAGCCCTTCGAGACAGAGATGGACTCAGTGGAGGCAGTTCCCGCATACTGTCCAGGCCCCGCCGGCCCAGGCGGGGACTCTCAGGTGGCTGGAGGGTACGAGCTGCTGACCCATCTGAAAATGTTCTGCCCACCAGCTGTCGAGAGGGGCTGGTTGTCAGTACTCGCTCTGTGCCTGGGGGCTCACGGAAAGGACTGGGAGGGCGGTCGTGGAGTGTGCCCATCTTGTTTCGGGGAGCGGGCACCGGAGACTGGAACTTGGGGCTTCCAGGAATACTGGTGGGTTGGCTGCGAGCACCGGAAGATGGATATTCACTCAGGCTGATAGCCACCACAGGCAACTGCCCACCTAGCCTGGGACTCTCGGTGGTTCTGCAAGCCTCAGCCAAGACTGTAGCTGCAGGACTGTCAGTCAGAAGACCACGGAGACCGGGGCTGGGTGGTCTCTCATGACCCCCTTTTCTGCCAAGCCGGGGACTTTCAGAGGACCGGGGACCACTTGGGCGAGACTGTGGAGGTTGCAGAGCCAAATGGTAGCTGGAGGAACGGGCAGGCACCAGTGGGGGCACAGAAGGGCCTGGCTCCTGCCCGCTTGGTGAGTGGCTGGCACAGCTTCCGCTGCTGGCTGGTGAGGAAAGTGGAGAGAAGGCTGGAGAGGTGTTCTCATAGCTGGAGCCCACAGACATGGCGCCGGGGCTGGTTGGAGGGGACAACAGGTAGCGCCCACCGTTAGCCATTGGCGACAACGGGGATGTGGCTGCAGGCTTCTTGCCTGCAGCTCCTGGGTCCTCTAGCACCAGCGAGTCCATGATTTCCTGCAGGTCCTTCTCAATAGAGCTCACCAGGGAACTGTGGCTGGCACAGGCTGAAGGTGCCCGGGTTGCAGGCTGTGCCGTGTGGTTCCCATTGACCAGGCTCTCTGATTCAGCTGAGGGAAAACGCAAAGAGGCCTCAAGCTCTGGTTTTTGGCTCTAGCGAGTCACATACATGCACAAACAACAAAGTACCATCCAACCTTATCCTAGGGCTGTGGGGCCATGAGGGCTCTGGAGAAGGAGCCAGGAGAGCTGAGTTCTGGTACCCACCCACTCGGCCACTGACCTGTTCTGCAGCTTTAGCCAAACTCTCTTGCCCTAGGTTCCCCTCTTATAAAAGGGAAATGATAGTAAAACCTTCCTGGCTCTAACTCGATGACTCAGGACAGAGTCAGCAACAGTACCAGGTATTTACTACCACTCTACTTCTCCTCCTCCTCCTCCTCCTCCTCCTCCTCCTCCTCCTCCTCCTCCTCTTCCTCTTCCTCTTCCTCCTCCTCTTCTTCCTCCTCTTCCTCCTCCTCTTCCTCTTCCTCCTCTTTCTTCTTCTTCGGTTTTTGTTTTTTTTTTTCGAGACAGGGTTTCTCTGTGTAGCCCTGGCTATCCTGGAACTCACTCTGTAGACCAGGCTGGCCTCGAACTCAGAAATCCACCTGCCTCTGCGTCCCAAGTGCTGGGATTAAAGGCATGCGCCACCACCGCCCGGCCTTCTTTTTTTTTTTTTTTAAAGATTTATTTATTTGTGTATATGAGTACACCATTGCTCTCTTCAGACACACCAAAAGAGGGCATCAGACCCCATTATAGATGGTTGTGAGCTACCATGTGGTTGCTGGGAATTGAACTCAGGACCTCTAGAAGAGCAGTCAGTGCTCTTAACTGCTGAGCCACCTCTCCAGCCCCACAGCCCCAGGTATTTACTTCTAGTTATTTCTAACTCGCTCCAACAATACGATCCTTCTTATCTTGGTTTTCCCAACTTTGAGTGCCTCTCTTTTAGGAAGAGCAAGTAGGCACACTACACAAGAGATATGGGCCTACTGTGGGGCTGGCCAGAAGTTCCAAGATTTCTCAGTCTAAGAGGACACCAGAGCCTTTCGATATAACAGTCAGAGGCTGGGGGTGGGGGCGGGGCTCCAGGGCTGTGGATGAGGTAGCAGCTTATCCGATCCAGCACAAGAGAAGGATCTGCTGATGGCGTGTGCCCGGAAGCCTGGCTGAGGAGCCTCGAGGTACAGTACAGTATCTCCAATTATTCCATTAAGTCACACCAGCAAGAGCTGGCTTTTGCCTGGCCCTAGCCCGTGTCAACCATCCAGGAGTTTAGAACCCTCAGAAACAATATCCAAACGGCTGAAGGAGTGACATGACTCAGACTGGGTTGGGGGCAAAGGGATTCCCCAGGGGACTGGAAATCATAGGTGTGGGGTGTGAAGAAAAGAATGGGTTTGCAAGGCTGTGTTTGGGTCCTAGTCAGAGGGTTTTCCAGTAACCGTGTGTTTCCAGTCAGCATTTGCCTTTCTTGAAGTCACCAGACTACGTAGGTCACTAATAACCACCCCATCAAGTGAACCTGACATACGTGCTCACCGGTCACAGAACCAACGTTGGCCTTCTAGTCCCACTTCCATCTGAACGACATTGCAGAGGAGCCTGGGATGGCACACACAACTAGCTAGCTTCTCCATCTGCACCCCGCCCCCTTGGCAGCCTGCTGAGGGGCCTGTGTTGATTCCTAGAACAATCACCAATTCTCTCCTGGGGATCAATAATTCACACACAGGCTGCAGCTGGCTACAGCTGCTCTCTGAGTCATCGGTCAGCATGGCATGGCCTCAGGGGTGAGGAGTGCCTCTGGATTCGATCACCAGCAGGTGGGACACCCCCCCCTCCCCTGCAAGCTACCAAGATTCATAATAATACTCAGACCCCCTCAAGTGAGGCACTCCTGAGATGACATGGGTCCCATACAATGAGTGGCATCTTCCACGGCAGCAGGGGGGTTTCAGGCTAACAGAACCTTGTATGTACTCTCAAGGCACATGACTTCACAGTTTGAGCCAAGCAGCAATGCATTGGATCTTTTCCAGTGGCCCTATGGCCTAGCATTCTCTACCACCCCATGGCAGGTGGCAGTGAGCCCAGACCATTGGTATTGTCCTGCCCTGACACTCCGAGAATGGTTGCAACAGGCAAGGACACATGTCCAAGGGGTGCCACTTACCCAGCCACCTGCCCCAGCTGGCTACTTACCAGAGGCAGGGTTATAGGTGGACCCCGGGGCCCGGGCCCCTGCTGGAATCATACTCTTTATCCACTTGGCTTCAGCTGGGTGGTTAAAACGCAGGAAGGTGGACTGACCCAGACACAACATGCAGCCTGAAGAGAAAGCATTCACTTAGAAAGCGCAGGCAGTGATGAAGCCATCCCAGCCACAACACAAGTGTGCTTACCCTCAGCTCCCAGGAGCCATCCCTGCCTGTACTCCTGGTGTCCATACAAGGCTTACCTGGCCTGCCTCTCTTTGCAATGGAGTCCTGAGATGGGTTCCCACAGTACAAGTCAGAATGGGAAAGATCACTGGCAGGTTGGTTCCCCAAATCCGAGTCCTACTCACTAGCTATGAAATCTTCAGGTGACGCTACTACATCTCCAAGCTAGTTCTCTTACAGAAACGGGACACTAGATACAACTAGAGGTCTCAGGTTTAATAAGACTGTATATGAAAATATTCCAGAAGTGGAAAAAATTCTTCAGAAAATAGGAACGCTCGGGGACTAAAGACAAGGCTAGTGGGTAAGAGGACTTGCCGCTCTTGCAGGAGACTGGAACTCGGTTCCCAGGACCTATGAGGTGGCTCAAAACCATCTGTACCCCCAGTTCTGAAGGCTGTGATGCCTTCTAATTTCTGAGTGCACCAGGTACTTACGTGGTACCCTTACATACAGGCAAAACACTCAAACAAAAGACAGACAAGCAAACAAAACACGTAAAATCAATACATTTTAAAAAGGAAAAATGAAAGCCGGGCAGTGGTGGCGCATGCCTTTAATCCCAGCACTTGGGAGGCAGAGGCAGGCGGATTTCTGAGTTCGAGGCCAGCCTGGTCTACAGAGTGAGTTCTAGGACAGCCAGGGCTACACAGAGAAACCCTGTCTCGAAAAAAAAAAAAACAAAAAAAAAAGGAAAAATGAACATCCAACACCAATGTATACCAGTGATTCACCGAATTGCCTCTTGGGTAAAAGTGTTAGTTTTAGAGGCAGCATCTTCCGGAGACACACACACACACACACACACACACACACACAATCCTGTAAGATACGAGACGAGTGAAACCCCACAGATCAGTCAGGTGCACGGGTGTGGCTCAGGATCTACTCTGATCCCCTCCCATGGTCTGACTTCAGGAGGGCTACCACCCTCTCTGAGTATCTAGGGAGCAAGCTCTTCTCTTTTTCAGGCAAGGCATCCCCCAACTATATCTTGGTCTCCCATAGACTCTAGCCAGTTCTCTGCCACTGGGCCCGCTTCAGCAAAACACATTCCCAGGCAAGACATACAAGCCCAGTCCTGCCCAGGAAGTACGAGTGCATAGAAAGAGGTGGGTATGTGGGAGCCAGAAAATATAGCCAGGGGCTTGGGAGTGTGCAGAGCAGCAGGTGTGCCCACGGGCACCTAAGCCTGGCTGGCAGAATTCCTCCTCCTGGCCATGCCAGGTGTGCCAGGCTCCCGCAGAAGATGCTACAGTGAAAAAAAGCCAAAGCCCTAGGGCTCTCTACTATGTAGGTTTCCCATTTGTCCACGCTCCGGGCCCCAGCCTCTTGGCTACCCAATGCTACAGGGTGCCCCATGCTTCACGCCAGTCTGGGATAAGACTGGCAAGGGAGTCTACATTCCAGGACGTTGAGGCAGTTTCAGCTCAGGGAGGCCGCAAGGGCAAGGGGCATCCCAGGCCAAGGGGGTACACTTTGACAGGACCCCTACTGAGCTCAGAGGTCTGATCCTGGGACCCTGGACCCTGAGAGGTTGACACTCTAAGAAGCCCACCCATAGCAGAAAACCAGATCGGACAAAGCCACCCACTACTTCGGCACACCCACAGGCCCTCCCAGGCAGACAGCACCAACAGTTCTAAAGGCTGATGGGTAGTTGAGAGAACAGGGAAAGCCTGCCCTGCCAAGCCACCAATCAGAGGAGCTAATCCCATAGTAATCATAACTGGGAAAAATAATAGTCACCCAAGTCATCCACCTAATTACAACCACAGCTGTTTCAGAGAAAGCCAGTCACCCCCTCCCCTTTCGGCCAAATATTTAACAGTCTAATTAATGATGAATTTGAAGGGTCTAGACAGATTCACTCAACTCCAGGGTGAGAGGGGGCAAGGGTTGTGGCTCTCCGCGCAGTCTGGGCAGCAGGTGGAGAAGCTGGGTGGATTCCATTCAAGCAGTGCCACCCAAGGAGGCTTTGGGTATCTAGGGACCCTCTTCCCTGGCACCTACAGCCTGGATACACTGCCTTGCCCTTCCCCCCCCTTCACACCCAGGGGGTGTGGCCATGTTGCTCTGGGCTATAAATAGTGGTGCCAGGCACCGGCGCTGTATTAATAGAGTGGGCAGGAGGGCAGCGGAACAGAGGGCAGACCAGCTCTGGCCCAAATTAACTTACTATTTGTACTTGGGGGCCCCAGGCATTGCTCCAACTCTGGCACCTACTGGCCCCAGAGACCTGGCCAGCCCGTCTGTGTTAGGAAGCCCCCACTCTGCTCACTCAGACCCCACAGAATCCCTGGACACTCTGGCCATCCAGCCAGAGTCCCCACCTTGTCCTCTCTGCCCAGAAGGACTCAGGGTCTGGCTGTGTACAGGTGGGTGGAGGAACTGTACATCTGGAGGGAAAACACCAGGCAAAAGGGAGGGTGGATCCTGTTTGTGAGAGATGCAGAAGGGAAACACCCCATGCAGACTCACACACAGACACTCAGAAACCGTACAGGCTCCCGGCCATATGGGCAGACATGCCACACACTCACAGCGACAGTCACTGACCTGCTGGCCACACAAATAGAATGGACTGGCCGAAGGGAAGCTGGGTGAAGGGAGAACGTGAGAAAGAATCTTAGCTCTTCTCATCAGAGACTCCTTCTGGTGATAGCACAGGCTCCCTCAACCTATACAGAACCCCTCTACAGGCTCCGGAGGCGGGTCCCAAGGAGCAGACACCCCAGAGGTGGGGAGGATGGGGTCTGCACAGCCATTTAATAACTCAAACCACCACTCACAGACGTTCTGGGCACACAAACCATCAGATTAACAGCCTCAGGCTCCTACTGGAGGGGCGAAGACCCCATTCCTCTCCTTGTGCCCACCCGTCCCAGAACGCCCCTCCCAGCTGGAGCGTCTACGCCCGGTTGCCTGGAGCTGTGGCTGACCTGGCTGGGGACTCACCGCTGAACCCGGACCTCCGGACTGTTCGCTCCTACCAGCCCGGGCCCTGCAGGTCGCCCGCCCGCCCAGGGCCTTTGAGGGGGCGGGCCGACCTCCCGCGCCGCCGGCTCCAGTCGAGGTGCGAGCAGCCAGGGAGCGAGCAGCCGCCAATGCCCGGGGAGGGGCGGGCCGGCCACCAGTGGCGGGGGAAGGGAGCCAGGGAGGGAGGGACAAAGGCGAGGAGGGGAAGAGGAAGTGATGGAGGAGTGTGGAGCGGGATGGAGAGGGCGGGGTGGGAGGGAGGATGCCACCAGGCGGCGGGATGAAGAACCCGCGCTCGGGGCTGGAGGGATAGTGGGGCAGGCTGGGAGAGGTTCCCAGGGAGATGACGTTAAAAGTTAAGGTGAGAGGTAAACAGAGGCCAGAAGATGGAGAGCCAGAGGTCGGAGTGATACCAGATTCTGTCTCATCTAAAGCTCTCTAGAGTAGGAAGCCAATGACTGAAGCCCATGGCTAGGGGCCAGTGTCACCTTGGGGCAGTCACACCTTCTGGCCTGGTGGCCTTGGATTCCTAGCCACTGAATGAGGAGGATGACCTCAGTGACGGCAGAGGACATTCTATGACTCCATACATGATGGAGAAACAGTGGGACTCGGTGGGATTCAGTTAGGGTCACTAGGTTCAGCTATGATCCTCAGCCCAGCACTGTGACAAGGTCACCCTGGGCTGAGAGCTCAGGCCAAGGCAGTGTCCTGTGCAATGCAAGCAACACAGATCTCAGTTCCTGTCACCACCCTAACTGCCTTTTTTCTTCTGGCCCCTACCCGCCAGAGCTCACCCGCATTGACCCAGGCTGTATCAGAGTGCCGTTCCTCCAGAGCCAGTCCATAGGTCAGCCCTCCTCTCTCTTAGCCACAGTTTCAAGTTGTAGTAACTGCAGCAAAGAACTGTCCCCTGTTAAGACCCTTTCTAGAGCTGGAAAGATGGCTAGGTGACTGAGGGCGTCTAAAGGATCTGGGTTCAATTCTCAGTACCCACACGGTCCTTTACTGTCAGTAACTCCAATTCCAGGGGAATCCACCTTTCTGGTCACTGTGTGGACACTAGGCACACATGTGGTGCACAGATATAATTATAGGCAAAACACTCCTACACATTATACATGCATACAGACATAAATGCATACATAAAAATAAATTTAAAGACCCTTGCTATCTAAAGCCTCCAAGGTCAAGAAGTCAAGTAAACATTGTCAACCAGTCAACCAGACTGGAACATTCTAGCTAGGGCCACAGAGAATTGCTTTCAACCTAAGGACCTGGCCCTGGACACCAGACCTCATAGATAAATCACACACACACTCTCAGGCACACTGTATTTCCAGCAGCCCCGGGGGGAACAGCCTGACTGTCATCTCCAATACAAACCAACACTGCCCAGTTACAATGACACTATCTCAGCCAGGCGCACACTGATCCAGACAAGCCCCCACGCTCTGTCACACACAGTTATTGTCACATTTTCAAGTCCCCAGCCTTCAGCCCCCCCCCCCAGTTATATACTTATTTGAACAGAGCTAGCCTTCCAAGCAGCCCCTGGGGGGACTCTGAAATAAATAAAAAGCCAGCTTCCTTAAAGAAATAAGAAGGGATTTTTCCATTCTTATTAGGTCACTGCTTCACCCACTCACTGGCATACTATACACGCCCACGTGCAAACACACACTCACATGTACGCAGGAAACCTGTTTCCCTTCTGAAGAAAAAAAGGAAGATCCAAATAGGGTCAAATGTAAAACGAGGGGAGGTGTTAAAAAAGAAAGACTCCCCAGGAAGAGTGATTCACCAGTCTGGAACCTGTGACGGCCAGCTGGACAGACCCAGGCAGACCGGGAAGAGGATGCTGTCAGTAGGGACAGTGCAGAAGGCAGACACAAGGAAGCTGTGAGCTCCCGGCCTTCACTTCTCCTCTCCTTTCCTTGAGTTTCCCTAGTAAAGATCCTTATCAGTCCTAACAGAGAAAGCTTGGAGGCTTCCTGCCCAGTTCACAGAAGAAATAACATAGCTGGTGGGCAGGGAGAGCCTGGTGTCCTGCATCTCCGGGTGGCAGCTGGCTTCCCAGGGTTCCTGGTGACACTGCAGCTCCCTCCCACCAGTGAGGGCTTCAGAAGTGAAGGACACTTAGGTAGGAGTTGATGGGGGACCTCCTGTCTAGACAGCCCAGGCCCTGAGCTGTATGGCTCTCTGGAGTCTCCCATCCTTAGCCCCTCCCAGATCTTTCATGTGGTTTGGTGCTGTGGTCCCAGGGTGGAGCAGCCTAGACCCCAGATTGAGATGCAAACCACCCCATTTGTTTCCTTGGTCCCTTTCCCAGCTCCACCCTTTGCTCTGTAGAGAAGAGGGCAGCACAGGATGTGCCAAGATGGCCGCGTACAGGGGTGGCACCCTCACATGTTCAGTTCTCTGGGCTAAAGGTTGGCATCTGTGTTCTGGCCTCCTCTCCCTCCCCTGGTCCAAGCATACTCCTGACTACAAGAGTCTGTCACTGCCATCTCTACTTGCCGTGAAGAGTGTTGTTCCAAGTTGCCTATGGCTGGGCACAGTGCCCGGAATGATGCTTTTGAAGCCTGGCCCAGCCAAAGAAGGCTCCTTGTCAGTCCTAAGATATCCCTTTACCTCTCAAAGAGGATCCCCGGTAAAAGGCCAGAGTAGTCAATAAGACAAGAAAAAAGTGTGTGTGTGTGTGTGTGTATGTATGTATGTGTGTGTGCTGCACCTAGGGCCTCTGTGTTGCTTTGCCACTGAGCTACACTTCCAGCCTTATGTGGTCCACACACGGCACGCCACAGAGTTCTCACGTACACACAAAAATACACACATAGACATTTTGATGCCATTAGCTCTGAGTTCAGCCACCACTCATTTGAACACACAGGTCTGTAAACACAAGAAAAGGCACAAATAAACACCAAAACACACAAGCCCAGAGACACAAACATATCCGAAGACAACATAAACACAGTCCAGTCACACAGACACACAGAGATAGCACATCACCCCCGCACCACCCAGTATCCAAGGAAACGCACTCCCAAGAATGTCCGGACTGGGGCCAGGCAGGGCTGGGCTTGGTGCCTTGCTCCAGAGATGAGACAAGGAAACTCTCAGCTCCTAGAACCCGAGAGGGGGTGGGGGCTAGGAAGAACACCCATCCCTTTGTGCCTCCGCCTACCCTGCCAAGCTTCTGAAACAGGCGAGCCCAGACAAGAAGGCTGGGTGGGGGGGTGGGACAGCAAAGGGAGCTTGGGGTCAGAAGAATGTAGGAGGGTACATACTTGGCAAGATGGGCCACTAGGAAATGTGTAAGTACTCTGCCATGGCCTCAGACCCTCCCTCTTCTCAAGAGCTAAATGACGCCCCAGGAAACTGGACCACAGCACTGATGTGATGCTTCCAGGCTGTTCACTTTCCAGAGAGGGCAAGAGTGTTTTTACTAGAGGGAAATGAAGGGCTTGGGGGATGTGAGGTAGGGGCTGGGAGGTCTTGGAATTTGCCCAGTCTCTTCCTTTGCTGCTCTGTGACTCACTGAACCCTGGAGCAGATGTTCTCTCTGACCCTGAAGAGGATTGCCAGGGACCAGACAGCATCCCAGCCAAAGCCCCAATTTGTGGGAACTCCTCTCATTCAGAGTCAGAGACCCTGAGCCCCAGGAGAAGGCGAGTGTGCCCTTGGCTGCTGTAGGACCTATCTCCCTGAGACAGAGTATCCGTGTTCTGCTGCATCACAAGGGCACAAGAGAGGAGTGGCTCCTATGCCAGAGGCGAGGGAGTGACCTCCACAGAGCTCGAGAGACAGTGGGTGAGTGGGATTTCCCCTGCAATGCAGCTAGAGGGCTCATCGTGAGAGCCGGGCTCAGCCCTCTCCCCGACATGACTTGACTCACAGTAACATCTGGCTGGATTCTTTCTTCTCAGTCCGTTAATAAAAAGACCCAGAAACGAACTAAGGATGCTTCCTGCCTGTTTCCAAGGTGAATACATCCGGCCTATTCAAAGTACCACCCAGCCAGCCCTTACCTGCCTGGTAACCATGGTAATTAGGGGACTTTACCCATCCGGGCCTCCCTTATGCCACTGAGCAGCCTGGTGCCTTAGGAAACAGAAGGAGAGCTAAAGTCGTGACCCTAAGCTATCTGCTGCAGGAACAAGCTTGCCCTCAGAGGACTTCCTCCCCTCGTTTTCTATGCTGACATCATAGAAACCTCAGATCCTTTCTCTCTTGTTCCATTCTCTCCTCCTTCAAACACTAAAAGCCTTACTAAGTACTATACCCAGGACCCCGGATAGAAGGAACTAAGACCTCTTCTATGTAATTGTGAAGAAAAAGTGTGGGGGTGGGGGTGGGGGTGGGGGTCGGGGAAAGGCTGGGTGCTGGGGGTGAGGTGGCATTTTTAAGATGTTCTGACACCCCGACGGAACCTGAGGATAAGCCAACCATCCAACTGACATGGCAACCACCACATCAGGCCTCCCCAGCAACTAACATGCACGAGTTATGAAACAGACAGACAGACAGACAGACAGACCTCCTAGTGTGGAGGTATCTAACCTTACCCTGAGTGAGCCGGGTGGGCTGCCGAACAGGGAGCCCATCAATCGTGCAGGCATTGCCACAGGGGTACAGGGTGAGAGTGCCCCTCAGATTCTCAATGTAGCAGTGCTCTGGGGCCAGGCCTGGACCCTGCAGTGAGATGTCCCTGGCTGCGGAACCAATCACTGTCCTCCCTGGAGACAGGAGACAAACTGAGTCAGAACGACCATCCAGGCGAAGAAAGCGAGCAGATGGTGAGGGGGCCACTGTGGAAATATATGCCTATCCCTTACATATGCTGAGACCCTGCCCAGTTCTGGCTACCCCTGGAAGGTCACTGAGGGGTAGAAACTCCTCGCAAGCAAGCAGTGAAAGCTCTGTGTCTGAGTAGCATCCAGAAAGAAGCCACAGAACTCAAGACACCTTGGCAGCAGAGAGGGGGACCTCCCTCTGTTCCTCTGACTTCCCATACTTCCTTTCTAGCCCCCCATCTTCTTAGAAAGGCCACCTTCTCTCTCTTACCCTTCCTTCCTCTCTCCTGTCACCCCCCTACTCTCTCCAGCTCAGCCTCTTCTCTCCATCCCTCCCTGGTAGAGCCCCTGGGACTGGCATTTGGAGAATGTGGGGAATGCAGTGTCACCCAGGCAACAGGTGCAGCCAGGAAGGGCGAAGGGCAGGCAAAGCCATGCCAGGGCCTCCAGTTAGGATATACGCCCATCTTTTCACGTTCCACACAGTTCCATCTCCCATGCCAGCCATCACCCTGGAGCAAGGGGGTGGGGGCTGGCTCATGGTCCCACAGATCCCACTGCTAAGAGCTTTCTTCTTTCCCCCTGCCGGCTCCCCTGACTCTAAACTGGCATTTATTGACTCATTCTAAACTGATCTTTAATCGGTTCATCTGCCAAAGAGGGCAGGCAGTCAGGGAAGGCAAGCACGAGGGAAGCGTTGCCTGCAGAAGGCAGAAGGGCCCCCACAGGCACAGCCTCTAGGGCAGGAATGCGTCCAGGGATGAAAGGGGAGGAGCCTTGTCCTGCCAGCCCGCAGCTCACCTTCCTCCAGCGGCAGGAGAGTGATGGCTGTGCTGAGTCTCCCGCTGCCCAGGCTCACTAGGTGAGGTTTGTCCGTCTGTACCTTCAGTCCCTGACCCGTCTCAATCAGATCCAACGGCCCTTTCTGCAGGTAATGTGAATGGGAGGTGAGACGTACAGACTCCAGGCCAGCACCCTACTCCCAGTCACACCGACATTCCCTGCAGCAAGGCTCTGAGGGTCTGGAAGGCTCAGCATAATAACCTTTTTTTTGTTTTGTTTTGCTTTTGTTTTTTCGAGACAGGGTTTCTCTGTGTAGCCCTGGCTGTCCTGGAGCTCACTCTGTAGACCAGGCTGGCCTCGAACTCAGAAATCCACCTGCCTCTGCCTCCCAAGTGCAGGGATTAAAGGCGTGCGCCAACACTGCCCGGCGCATAATAATCTTATGTAGAGCATTACTGCACTAAATTCTAATTACAGCTGAATCTGGGCCCCTAGCTCATCCATCCCACTGCAGTTGTCTCCAGGCTAGGCTCAAGTGTCCCTTTTGTTTAGACAGAAACAGGAGGGAGTGCCGTACCTAATAGGAGGAGGGCCAGTCTAGCTCCTGGCAGGCTTGTAATGGCTACCCACGTGGCTGCGCCTCCTCCTCTAAACTGAACTACAAGGGAGTAGTGGGAAGGCATGAACCAGGAGAGTGATCCTGCCAGAGAGTCTGTAAACCGAGTTTGGACTTTCACAGAGAAGTTTCCGGCTGAACCAACAAAGAACCTGACTCGGACCATGGCTGAGCTGGTAACACGGTTCAGACAAGGAATGAGCAACTGGCAAAATGCCGCTGCTCCCATCCTTGGACTTGGGCAGCTGATGAGTAAAAGAGCTAAACCCACGGCTGGAGAGATGACTCAGTGGGGTGTCAGAGTGTTCTGCTCCTGTGGAGGACCCAGGTTCAATTCCCAGCACCCCTATGAGAAGGCTACAATTCCCTATAATTCCAACCCCAGGGTTATCTGACTCTGACCTCTTTGGGCACCTGTCCGTCACATATACAGGAGCACAAAGACTAACACAGTTTCAAATAAAAAAATAAAACTCAAAAAGGGAAAGATCTGAACCACCCTCACCAGGAGCCCTCTTACTCTATGGTCGAGTCCCACTCACCTGTACCACAGCCTGGGGCTTGCATCCAGGGCCTAGCTGGTTCCTACTGAGAGGATCCATGGTCCTGGGGCTCCAGAGTTTCTGGGAACACAATAAAAAGCAGGTAAGTTGGAAGGCCCGGGATGAAGGCAAGAAGTAGGCTCTGTGGCAAGGTTCTCGGGCCAAAGCCAGTGGCAGCCACAACTATCTCCAGAACACACAGGATGAAGAAAAGGTGGTGGAGAGAAGTGAAGGAGTTTGAGGGAGTGCGGAGCAGAGGTGACATGTCCACCCTCTGATTTAGCACAAGATGCCTGCCCCCTCCCCCCTCCCTCCCCACACACCTAGCCATCTGGAGCCTTAAATGGAGCAAGAGAAGAAGGAAGCCCCTCTAAGGACATGAATACCCAGAGATCAGCCAGGTGGGCTCAAGGGCTGATGTAACTACAACCCCTCCCCTAACCTTTCCTTTTTCCTCCTCTCCCTTTGTCTCTTTCCCCAAGGGTCTCAATAAGATGTTTTCTTAAAGGAGACAGAGAGGGGAAACCCAGCCATTCCTGTCATGCCTGTATGTCTCAGCTCCTGTAACTTTTTCTTTCCTTGAAAGGTACCTCACCTGATATAATCAGCTGTAAAACTTTAGCACTTTTGAGCACTGACCTCTGAGGCTCTTTAGTGGCTTGGTGCTGGAGGAACCAGAAGTCGATTCCTGAGCCCAAACTTGAATCTCCTACCTATCTGGCATACCTCAATAAATCTGTTATATTTTTAAAGTGTGTGGAGACCGAGCAGTATACTAGGTCACACCCCATGAGGTATAACTCGCTCTGGAAAAGGCAATTATTACAAGCGGTGTAATCCTGAAGGCCAAGCTACTGACCAGTATTACTACCCATCCCTCGTTCTCAGGCTTGTGTTTTGGTGTTTGACCTTTGGGTATGAACATGTCACCAACTCATCAGGGTCCCTTCCCACTTTCTCTTCCAGCTGTCACACAAGTGGCTCTCAAAGGAAGTAGAGTGAGAGCCTGGACTCCAAGAACTGTCCCCTCCTGACCTCTAGGCCCTCAGCCATGGAGTTACTAAATGTATCTTTCCCACATCCACCCTTCTTCCTGGCCTGGCCTTCATCATCTCCGTCACCATTTCTACCCAAGTTGGCAGAAAAGAGGCAGGAACAGTGAGTGCGTGGGACCCGCTCTAGGACTGCCTGGGAAGAGGGAAAACTTAGGCCACTCACCCTCACTGGTCCTCACTGGCCCCTCTCCAAAAGCACTAGCCACAGGAATGTTCTTAGAGACAGAGCTGTCTGTCTGTCTGTCTGTCTTTTTTAAAGATTTATTTATTTTCATGTGCACTGTGTTCTGCCTGCATGGTCTGGGTGAGGGTACAGATCCCCTGGAACTGGAGTTGCAGACAGTTGTGAGCTGCCATGTGGGTGCTGGGAATTGAACCCAGGTTCTTAACCATTGAGCCATCTCTCCAGCCCCAAGGTCTTTCTTATGCACAGGGAAATGTCTCAGCATTTTTTTGGGAAGGGGCGGGGAGGAAAGGCAAGGGAGTGGGTTGAAATGGGGGAGAGGGGTTATGTAAAAAGACCAGGAAAGAAAACGAAAACAAAAACAATAAAGGTTCTTGAGTAGGAAGACTTTAGACTAGGGTGCAAGACCTCTAAAATTTACCCTGACTTTATTAGCTGTGCAATGTCATACAATGCATTTTACACACACACACACACACACACACACACACACACACACATTTTTTGGGTGTTTTGTTTGTTTGTTTGTTTGTTTTTTTAGGCAAGAGCTAGTATATCCCAGGCTGGCTGTAAAATGAGAAATGAAGGCTGGGAGTGGTGGTACATGCTTCTAATCTTAGCATGCAGGAGACAGAGGCAGGTAGATCTCTGGAGTCTGAGACCAGCTTAAGCTACACAGCAAATTCCTGGCCAGCTAAAGTTTCATCTCAGGGAGATTTTTGTATAAGGAATGGGGGTGGGAGGTGGTGGTGGAGGAGACCTTGAATTTCTTTCTAATCTTCCTGATATACCTTGGGTGTATGACATCATGTCTTCTTTTATGTGGTGCTAGGGATGGAATCCAGGGCTTTTGTTGTTGTTGTTTTTAGAGACCATTCTACAACCCCAGGATGGAGGTGAGTTTTTTTTATTGTTTGTTCATTGAGACAGAGTTTCAGTCTGTAGCTAATGCCCAGACTGGTCTAGAACTCCTGTTTTACCCTTCCTGATTGCTGGGTTTACACAGGTCAAGTAAGTCACCATGCCTGGATTGGACAAGTCATTATACTTCTCATATTGTCAAGTCAATCTTCTATAAAACCATAATAATAATAATTAAAGAAAAATTAGCCAGAACAGGGCTTGTCTAGAACAGTACTTGCCTGGGGCTAGGCGCAGAACAGAAATAGACTGTGAATAGGCACAAGATTTTTGAGCTGTGTGCAACAGAAATGTTCTTTTTTTGGGGGGGGCTGTCATGTATGCACATGTGTGTCTAGGACACATGTGCAGAGGCCAGAGGCAGATGTTAGGTGCCCCCCTCATTATTCAGGGGGGTTATCTCATTGAATCTGAACTAGGCAGTTGGCCGTCATGCCCCAGCAATCCTCCTGCATCTTTCCCAGCCCCAGCTCTGGAATTACAGGCACGGGTGCTGGGGATTTGAACTCCGTTCCTCCTGTTCAAGTAGCATCCATTTTTATCTGCTAAGCCAGCCTGCAACCGGGATGTTCTAAAATTAAGTTTCAATGACAGTTATTACATAGTTCTGTAAATATGCTGAAAGTCACTGCATACTTAATTTGGGGTTGATTTTATGCTATGTAGATTAACCCTTAAGAATCTGTGAAGAAAGCCTGGAATTTGGAGAAATCTCTCTTTGTCAAGAGCACTTGTTGCTCTTTCAAAAGATGGGAATTCTGTTCCCAGAATCCACATGGTGGCTCACAATCATTTGTAACTGCTGTTTCAGGGATTCCGCACCCTCTTCTGGATTCAGTGGGCTCCAGACACATACAGGGCGCATAGACATACATGCAAGCAAAACACCATACAGGTAAAATACAAATTAAGAAAAAGTTTAAAGTTTATCTGAAGATTCAGATTGGATACAAAATCACACTCCATGAGCTACAAAGCAATCTAAAAATAGCAGGTATGATTAGCTGTGGAAGGCACATGGGTCTGTGCCTCAGTTTCCCTATCTGCTACACTGGAGTGTTTTTCACTGTCACCTCACTTATTTACAGTGAATAAATTCAAGTGGAATAAAGACTGTAAACGAATTAGGTTAGCGAGGAAATAAGAGTGACTCAAGGAGAGGCGAGATGGGAATAAGGAGGTGAAACAAGAGGCAGAGATAAGGAGAGAGGTGTAGAGAGAAGATAAGAAACCGCACAGCAATTGGAAGGTGTGAGGCTATGGCCTCAGCTCAGAAACCTAACCCACGGCAGAGGAAAAAGACACCAGACCAACCTGACCTGGGCTCAGACGGTGCTTTGATAGAGGGATCTCACCGTGGCCCAGGTGCCCTCTTCTCTGACCCCAATTCCATGTCCCTTGGAGAAGCAGTGCTGTCCCCTGACGCCCTCCACTGGCTGGTCCCACCGAGCTGCTATCTATATCCAGGGCTTTATTTACCCACTCTGTGCAGCACTTGTGGAGAACTCAGCTATGCCCAGATGCAAAACAAAACAAAAACAAACAAACAAACCCAAAACCCTGTGCTGTGGCTCCCATTGCTGAAGATCGAGTCTAGCCCTCTCTGCAAACCTCTTGCATCCAGATGCAGACACCCAAGCACCTCCTAGCCAGCCAGCTAGGTGGCAGGGGCCTGGCTGTATCTATATTATCAATGTAGGGGAAGACCGGGGACACACAGAGGTAACCCTAGCCCCAACCCCAATGTGCCAACAGCTGACAACACCTGTCTCCAGGTCTTAGCACGGGAATAAACACGAAGGGAGTCCTGGGAAGAGCCAACTAGCTCTGGTGCCAGCAAGCACTGAAGAAAATACCTGGGATCCCAAGGGATCCAAGATGTAAGGTCCAAAGCCAGCCTTGGAGCAAAAAGTCAGGTCCCCCTCCCTCACCTGGCTCTCACTGGGTCAGCTGATGGTTCTGGAGGGGCAACGCATAGCTGTAGGCCAAGGCCTTTCTGGTCACAATGACTTTTGTCTTCCCTGCTCACATCCTCCATCGAGGAAGGGCCACCGGCAGAGGAAGGAGTCAGGACGGGAAGGAAGGAAACTGAGGCCGGACGGGCAGAACGCCCAGGAGAGGCAGGGCGCGTGTCCAAAGGCCAGGCATGAAGAGAAGGAATTAGAAATAAGAAAAATAGGCAGAGAGAAAAGGGGACGAAAGGACGAGGCGCAGGGTTAATAGTGTGTGAAATCAGGAGGAAACACCGAAAGCTGGCGAGGAGAGCCTGGGTGTGGTGGTACATGCCTGTAAACCCGATTCCCTGGACTCCGGATGTGGCGACAGGATATCACGCACTCAAGGCCAGCCTCGGCTTGGGCTTCATGAGACTTTGTCTCAAAAAATAACAGCAGTGCTGGGATGAGACAGAGAGACTGTAGGGGAGGCCAGGGGACCCTCAGAAGCTCACGCAGTGGTGATGGGGGGGGGACGGGGGTGCTAGGGGCACGACTTGGCATACAGTCCCCAAATAGGAGAGGAAGAACCAGACGCTTCAGAGCACCTTGGAGTGGGGAACCAGAGGGCAGCTAGGAAAAGAGGAATCCTCAGAAGCGGCAGAAGAGAGTCTTGGACAATCCGGGGACAGAGAAGACAGAGCTGGGAAGAGCAGTTGGGGTGGAAGAGTATTGATTGGGGAGCGTCGCTAGAAAGGTGCACTTCTGAGAAACCCGCAGGGTTCGTGGATCTCCACACACCAGAGGCCTGGCCCTCCCCCGGCCACCGGGTGGGACAAGGCAGCAGTGTTGGGTCGCCTGCTGCGGCTGCCCCGCCCGTCCGGCCCCGGGGACAAGCGGCCTTTCTTCAGCAGGGCCGAGAGAAGAAGTCGCTTGTTTGCACGGCAGGGAAAGGGGGCGGCCTCGCAGCTGCAGGAAGGGGGCTGGCGTGCGGAGGGAGGTGCGTGCGTGCGGGGAGGTTGCGTGACTGGAGCAGCCTTCCCGGGCGACCCTTGCCAGCGCGTGGAGTGCGTGGTGTGACGCGTATACTAAGTGTGTGAAGTCGAGGCACATGCGAAGGATTCACGTGCGCACCGGCGGTGTGACACTGGACCGTCCGTGTGACGTGTCTTGCGGGTGCGCGGAGGTGAGGCGTGGGATGCTGTGCGTGGGAGCTGCGCGGACGCCCGTGTGAGTGGCCAGTTCTGTTTGTGTGACCGCTGTGGGGTGAGCCCGATGTGCGATGAGTCAGTCTCCGGGAGTCTCCAGGACCGCTGAGCTAACGGGCCCAGAATGCAGCCCCACCCCGGCTCACTGGGTCCCCCGCCGGGCCGCGCGGTCGCGGGCCAAGTCCCCGCTGCGCTGGCCTGGGCGGAAGCGTCCGCGGCGCCTGGGCAACCCTGCGCCCCACGGCCCCACCCAGCCGCCTGCGTGCGCTTCCCCATCCCGGGGGAGCCGGATGACGGGGCTCGGCCTCTGTTGGGGAACTCCGCGCTGTATTTGGATCCAGACCGCGGAGGCGGAGCGAGAGCCTACGGCTCAGTCATCCCAGGTCGCCGGGGACCCTCAGAGATAACGGGGATCCTGGATCAGTGCCCAGGAGACCCTAGACGTGGAAACTCCAGGATCCCTCCCTGACTCCTACGCCTCACTCAGAGTTGGACTCCACTTCTTGTTGAGTCCATCCAGACATCTGGAACTAGGACAAGAGAGGAGACGCCTAGGGGATCCCCCTTCCTGTGGTCCTGCTGATGTAGAGAGGGACCATGTGCGATGCTGTAGACGATCCCGCGCGCGTACCCAACCCGAGACTGCGACTATGGGATACTGGCGGTCGGGGTCCCCACAAGAGAATCGAGATCCCGCAAGGCTCGGGAAGGGGGGGGTCCCTCCGCATAATACCAGGGCCCCCTCTGGCGGTGGCGGTGGCAACGACTCAGGAGGGCAAAAGCAAGCAGTTCGCCGAGGGCGGCCCACAAAGCCCCTTCCGCCAACACACTCACCTGGCTTGGCCCCCTTTTTCCGCACCTTTCTACCCAGCTCTCTGGGCCAGACTGGTCTCGTCTGGTCCTGGGGACTTTCCCTTCTGTAGACCCGGCCAAACGGCGAATGGAACCCCGAGGCATAGTGGGAGGGGCACGCTTACCTTGTGGGGAGTTGGGGGGACACCGGCCCCTTTGCCCAAGCGGGCCGCGGCGGCCTCAAGCTGGCGGGGACACTGTTGCTTTTCCCCTGCAGCCAGCTGAGTAGGAGGAGAGGGAGACTGTCCCGCCCCCCTTCCCTGAGTCCCCGCCCCCATCCCGTCCTGTCCGCCTGGCCAGCTAGAGAAGACGCCCTTGTGGTGCTGGAGCCCAAGGCCCCCACCCAGCCTTTCCCACAGCAGCACCTCCCCCGCTTGCACAGCGCCCGCTTTGTTCATCTGTACAGCTGGGCTTTCCACCACCTCCACCACCATGGCCACCGTGCTTGCTCTTCTCCTGCCCTTCCCTTCCGACCCTCCTAGACCACCCTCCACTCTGGGCCTCGGAAGACACTTCTTTATTTATCTCCGCCTACCCAAGAATCTCGAATCTTCCACGGACTCCCAATGAGCCCTAGCAACCTTCCTACCACAGATGCTCAACTTTCCTTTCAGAACATCTACTGAAGGCGCTCCTGTCCTTTCCTATCCCAAACCCCACCATAGAGACCTGTCGGTCAAGTTACTAATATCAGGCTTCAGAAATTAACGTGAAAGTCTGTTAAAAGTGTGCTGTAAGCCAGATAGATGGTGGAGGCCTTTATCCCAGCACTCGGGAGGCAGAGGCAGGTGGATCTCTGTCAGTTCAAGACCAGTCTGGTCTCTGAATATGTTCAAGGACAGCCAGGGCTACACAGAGAAACCCTGTCTCGGAAAAACAAAAACAAACAAAAAAGTGTGGTGCAAAGCACAGGACCCAGGAAAGCTGAACAGAGCTCACCCTTTTGCCTCCGCCCATTCGCCTCCAATACAGACTTGCTGGGTTACAGCTGGAGCTGAGGGCAGCGTAGAAAGACACCAGGTTGTCTGAAGAATGAGAGTTTGAGGAAGAAGAAAAGAGGGGGGCGGTCTAGAAACCCAGCCCCGGCGAAGTCATTCAGCAATTCAACTCCCACCTCGAAATCCAAGCTGACAGTGGAGCCGCACCTTGCAAAGCCTGCTCTTGTCCCAGGAGACTGCTGGGAGGCCTCTTGGGAGCTGAACTCGACTAGATTGGGCCTCTTTAAGCTGCACTAAAGGATTGGCAGACGCTCTTCCTCAGTGAAGGGAAGAGCAGGAAGCCCCCCAAGTCTGTCCTAGATTCCAGATGGGATGGGTTGGAAAAAAAATTTAAAACGAAACCTTCTTTGGAATGGAGAAGCCCTGCTCTGTCCCAGTGGCTTTTGTTCTGTGACCTCTCTCACTCTCTTTCCCAGGAATGGCAGGAGACTGAACTGCAGGAATTTGGTCACTCATTGACAGAACTAGCATTAGTAGGGGGCACTCACAGCTGGCAGTTAAACTGGAGACAGCCAGCCAAGCAGTGGACAAGAGGGAGGAGGAGAAAGGGTCCCACCTGCCACCGACTCTAGCCAAAGAGGTGAGACATACACTGTGGTCACCGGAAGCCCAAAGATTTATGCAGTTTCTTTTTACCTCTCTTCACATCATTTGAGACTCAAGGAACAGTTGCCACTCTGGTCAGCCTTCCTGGGGCACATATCATTCATGACAGTAATTTTCAGGCTGTTCTGGTGTGTTTATGAGCAAAAAGAGAAAACCAAACCATCTTGTTCCGTATGGGAAGACCTAGCATTTGGAGAGGGGGCTCACACTCTTCCATCTTTTTCTTAACCTCCAGCTGCTGTCAGGAGGACTTGTCAAGCAATAATGAAACCTGCCAGAGGCAGATGATGCTGAAGCAGGTTTTTTTTTTTTTTTTTTTTAAGCACCAAATTTTTTCCTCAGTGTTTCAGTGTCCAGCTGACCCCTATGATCAACGCTTGTCCTATCTCCTGCTGTGTCCAGCCTCTGTGTTCCCACAGTTAGAGCACTCAGGGGACTAAAGACCTCCTGCCCCCAACCCTCCACCCTCATCCCACTCCACATCTGGAGCCCATCAAGAAACTCAGTGCTCTCTCACAGTTATGCAAGAGGTCGAGCAGCTGGGAGCTCGGCTTAGGGCTGGAAAGGGGGAGGAAGAGAAGAAAGCCGAGGACAGCTTTCCAGGCATGCTTCAGACTTTCCGAAATGGAAGCAGGGGGAGAGGGCAGAGGCTGGGTGTGGAAGGAAGGGTGAGTTCTTCAAAGCCTTCTGCACTTAGCTGTGGCCGTCAAGAGTGGCTCTCCACACTCCTCCTGTCTTTGCCTTGGCACATTTCCCATTCTGTCCTTCTTCTCAAATTGTGCTCCCTCGGGCTCCAGAAGAGGGTGAATGTTACTCATTTGGCCAGCAGCCTCTGTCATCTACTCCCTCTCCCAGAAAGGATCTTCTTGTTGTGTAATAGTTTCCTCAAGATTGAAACATTCCTGCCTGCAGGGACGTTCCTTAAGGAAGGTAAACAACTCAAGATAGATTCAGGAAGTCCCTGAAACTGACCAGATTCTCCAGGTCCCTCCCCGCCTCAGTAAGGAATAAAAGCCAAGAGTGCCTCTCAGACAAGCTGAGCTTCAAACAAGACAGGTCACAACAGCTGCCTGAAAGGGGTTTAAACCATCTGAATCTTTTGGAAAAGCTGTTGAGCAGCCTGCAGGCTCCGTGTTGTGCTCAGTTCTGTGAGCTCTCATGCTGGGGTGGGCTTGTGATAAATCTTTTGAGTCATTTCTATTCCTGTAAGTAACCTATCACCCATAAGTAACTACAATAAAAATAAAGTAACCCCAGTATAACTCATTGGTTTACTAAGTTAGACTTTGGTGGTGTGGTGGTTTGTCCAGAGAGAGGCACTATTAGGAGGTGTGGCCTTGTTGGAAGTGTGTCACTGTGGGGGCTAAGAACCTCTTCCTAGTGGCCTGGAAGTCAGTCATGTCCTGACTGCCTTTGGCTCAAGATGTGTAATTCTTGGCTCCTTCTCCAGCACCATGTCTGCCTGGATGCTGCGGTGCTTTCTGCCATCATGATAATGGACCAAACCTCTGAACCTGTGAGCCAGCCCCAGTTAAATGTCCCTTATAAGAGTTGCTTGGAGAAGAGACACAGCGACAGCAACTGCTGGACACGGACCGCCTGAGTGAATGTGAACCCAGACCATAGCCTGTACTTCAGCCACCACAGGTCAGTGGAGCCCCCATCTGAGAAGCTGTGGGAGCGGCGCCAAGCCAAGATGAAGCGCTTGTGTGGGAACAGTGCTCCCAAGATCCTGGCCATGGAGGCTGCTGTGCAGCTGAGCTTTGACAAACACTGTGACAGAAAGCAGCTGGAGTACTGTCCTGTCATTACCCTCAAGTTCTGAGACCTGGGCACCGGGACCCTAGGCAATGCCTCACAGTTCCTAGCCTCTCCCTCTTCATCTCTTCTGGACATTTTTCAAAGAGGCCTGTGTACTGACATGCTGGATACAGTCTGTCAGCCACTTATAATTCTGTCAGCAGGAGGTATACCGTTGCCACCACAAGGAGTGTTCACTGGCAAAGTGACAATTGTATGTATTGGACTGGCTGTTGGGTTTTCTCTGTAACAGTCCAGTTCATTGAAATTATTGCCTAGAGATACTGCCTATTGTTCTGCGTTTTTAATTTCCTTTTTTAAACCGTCTGGAATGCCATAAAAGCCTTAAGCCACATGTCATTTGTTGCTACATTTTTTAGACCAGTTTTCGTACAGCGCATGCTAGCTACAAACTCTTAAATCTTCCTGCTTCCACCTCCCAAATGCCAGCTTACAGGTTTGCACCGCCCACACCGGGCTTCTGTCCACATCTTTTCTCAGACTGTAGCTCTTTGGAACCCTCTGAAAACGATGCAAGTGAACAGTAAGACTAGTGGCACTTGTTAACTCAGCTACCTGTCAGCCTGCATGCTCTATAAAAGGCCTAAGAGTAAATTCTCTGGCTTGACAGGCTATGTCGTCTGTGTCATAACTGCCTGACTCTGTCTTCATAGCATAAAAACAGCCATAGTTACTAAATAAACAAATGCATGTGATTGTTTCAATAAAACTTTATTTATAAAAAAGAAAAAAAGTTGGTCACGGTGTCTCTTCACAACGGAAACCCTGAGACAGGTGGTATCTTTACTTTGGTCTGTTGTGGGTTCCCTTTCTGGAGTAAGCAGACCTGTGTGTTGTGTCTCCCTAAGAAAAGTTGTGTCATACACCTCTGTGACCCCTTTGGGTCCTAAATACCACCACTGGTGAAGGTGCTGTGTAGGTGTAAGTCACTATTGTATCAGTTGGCCTTACAAAATTCGCACAGTCCATACTTGTATGCAAATCTAATGCAATCAAGTGGTATGGGACACTTGGTCAGGACTGAATAAAGGTCTCACCACCTCCATGGCTCAGGACCTGCCTGTGAGCAAAGAACAAGCACTGAGGACTGACAGCTCGGCCCATGTAGCGTGCGTGCTGTTTGGTGTGCAAAGTGTTGAATGCGATCCCCAGTGCTGCATACACTTTTATTTGGGAAATAAAATCAGTTGTTTCTCTCGTTGCCTTGGATTTGCAGGGCCACTCTTTCAAATAGTTCATGTTCTGGGTTGTTAATAAACCTGATCAAACGGGACACACAGGTGTTTCCCAGAACTGGATTAGGATGTTTAAGAGCGATGAAGTGTTTTCAACGATTTGACATTGTAACACAACTTGTCGTCTATCCAGATCGAGCTCAAGAATCATGTAAATGAGTTGAAAGGGTATACGTGGGGGCTGGAGAGTTGGCTCAGTGGTTAAGAGCGCCGGCTGATCCTCCGGAGAACCTGGCTTTGATTCCCAGCACCCACATGTGGTTCACAATGGTCTCCAACTCTAGTCTCAAGGAATACAATGCCCTCCTCTGGCCGCTGTTGGTACCAGGACTCAAGTGGTACACATATACACATGTAGGCGAAACACTCATACACATAAAATAATTTTTAAAATTAAAGAAAGTATAAGACAATAAAAATTATTTTTTTAAGTTTTGTTTTTGAGACAGGGTTTCTTTGTATAGCCCTGGATGTCCTCTTTGTAATCTGACTAGCCTTGAACCCACAGAGATCTACCTGCCTCTGCCTCTGGGATTAGA